AAAAAAAAAAAAAAAAAAATTCGCCAGACATGGTACCTATAGGCATGTGCCTATAATTCCAGTTACTTGGAAGGCTGAACTGGAAGGATCGCCCAAGCACAGCAGGTTGAGGCTGTGGTGGCTGTGAGTATGCCACTGCACTCCAGCCTGGGCAACAGAGTGGTGAGACTCCAACCAATTAAAAAAATTTTTTTAAGCATAGGCTGGGCATAGTGACTTCATCTCTTAAAAAAAAAAAAAAAAAAAGATTCAGGCTAGGCTTGGTGACTCAGCCTGTAATCCCAGCACTTTGGGAGGCCAAGGCGAGCGGATTGCCTGAGGCCGCGGGTTCGAGACCAGCCTAGGCAACTTGGCAAGACCTACAATAAATCAAAAATTAGCCAGGTATGGTAGCACACACCTGTAGTTTTGGCCACTTGGAAGGCTGAGGCAGAAGGATTGCCGGAGCCCAGCAGATCAGTGCTTGGGTGGCCATGAATGTGCCGTTGCACCCCAGCCTGGGCAACAGAGTGATACTCCAACTCAAAAAAAATTTAAAAAGGATTCAGAAATTACTTGAGTTCTGATAGATTAGAGTGGCATAGATTCAGGTTTTTTTCTTTTCTTTCTTTTTTTTTTTAAGTGGAGTTTCACTGGGAATGGGGGATTTCAACAGCAGTTGGTTCTTTATTTAATTTTGTCTGTGTTTCAGTCTATTATCAATAGCCATGTATTTCTGGCTGCATTCAGAATAAAATTAGATCATACTTTTTCTTATTTGTGTCACAAATAAATTTATTTGATTGGAGAACCGTTTTGTCCGTATCCAGAATTGTGGGCATGAATGCTTACCAGAAGGCATCTCCTAAGTCATTGTGGTAGTAATGCTCAGCAAAACTTTCTTGTATCCCAGTTTTAATAGAAGAATGATAGAACTGTGCTTATTTTACTACTGGAATGTTCTTCTGAAGCATTGAATTCATTCATTTTTTTCAACTGAATTGCTGAAATAGGTTCTGCCAGAATCAGTTTTATTGATACAAAGGAACGTATGTCAGTTTAATCACTATTAGTATATGATTTCAAGAACCATATACGATAGAATTGTAATGGAGAATTATGCTGGGTGCTGTGGCTCAAGCCTGTAATTCCAGCACTTTGGAAGGCCGAGGCGAGAGGATTGCCTGAGACCAGAGTTTTGAGATCAGCCTGGCCAACTTGGCGAGAACTCGTCTCTACAATAAATCAAAACATCAGTCTGGCGTGGTGACTCACACCTGTAGTTCCAGCTACTTGGAAGACTGAGATGAAAGGATCACCTGAACCCAGCATGTCGAGGCTGCTGTTGCCGTGAGCATGACACTGTACTCCAGCCTGGGCGACAGTGAGACTCCAACTGAAAAAAAAATAAAAGCGTAATGTAGAATTATATAGTTTCAAGAATGTCAAGTAAATCAAGTTGAAGTCTTTAGACACCTTCTATTGGACTGGGAAAAAAAATGTCTTTTTAAGTTGAGGCCAGTCAAGTATAGAATAAGGTATGCCAGCTAATACCAAGATTTAGTCAGAATTGTCTGTAAGTAGCAGTTAAAGGAAACTTTCACAGTTTAAAACTCTTTCTAGCTGGGCTCAGGGGCTCAACCTGTAATCCCGCACTTTGGGAGGCTGAGGTGAGTGGATTGCCTGAGCCCGCGGGTTCGAGACCCGCCTGGCCAACTTGGCGAGACCTCATCTCTACAATAAAAATAAAAAAAATTAGCCGGGTGTGGTAGTGCGTGCCTGTACTTCCAGTTACTTGGAAGGCTGAG